TTTTTTTTTTATTATTATTAATTTTACCCTCAGTCTGCATTTTACCCCTGGTCTGCAGTCTGCAGTCTGCATTTTACCCTCAGTCTGCATTTTAGTCCCGGTCTGCATTCTACAGTCTGCGTTTTACACTGACCGATTACATACAGCTTAATGAGGGTAACGGCCATCAAATCACATGGTAATCTTCATGGCGAACAAATAACGCAATCCTTTTGTCACAGATATATTTTGTTTACCTCACGAATAAGCAGATCTTATTTCATGAGGAAAAGAAAACAGCATTCTACATTTCACTTAAAAATCACGCTTCAAGTAGACCCAGTATGCCTTCATCGCACCTCACACTGGGAGCAAAGTCATGCAGAAACAGGCTGTCTTTACAGTGGCAACGAAACGGTGTTTTGTATCCGATATTTTTTGGCATGATGATAAAATTTGAACCTTACTTGCAAATGTTGTGATGACCTTTCTTGGCTGAGCGGAGGGCAGAGGGCTAGTTGAGCCCAAAATCGTTTAAGTGTTTTTGAATTTGTTTTATAACATTTTACGAATTGTAGTCTTCTTTTACGTTGGACTGAAAGAGCATTTTTGTGTTCCCATTAACTGTAGCTCGTAGCTTTATGTCGATAATAGCGACGTGCATATTTCCTGAATGTAGACCTTTGTAGCGTGACAGATTGAAGAAAGTATTATTCAAAAACCCTTTAATTAGGCGTTATGCAAATTTGTGGGAAAATTTTGATACAATACCTATAAGTGTGACGTTGATACAAACAGTAACAGCAACAGATGCCCATCTTCCATGAGCCTTCTCCCCAATGGCTGGGTATGGATACCGCACATGTCCCTTGTACTCGTCATGACGATCACGTAAAGTCGCCCAGGATCTTCCTAGCACCGTACCGCAATATCCAGAGGCAAAACAACACAGAATTAGCAAAGCAAAGCCTGTCAAACCTGCTCCTACAATGGCGGCAGGTAGTGCTAAAATACCGCTGCCAGCCATTTCTCCAGTGATGAACACTGCGGCCGTGAAGACGGTTAATCCCTTTTGCAGCTCCGCGGGTTCATGATGTTCACCTCGCCGCTCTATCACTAGGTTCTCGTTGTCGAAAGCCTCTTCTTCTGCCACGATTTCTGGATCTTGAACACAGTCGCTTTGGACGTCATTTGCTACAGGAGCGACAAGCTTTTTGCCCGACCTGATTAAATTTTCTTGCAAGTCTCCCATGAAGTTTCTTGCAACAACTTTCGAAATAGATTGACCCCGTAAGGTTTGTGCGCATGATTGCGTGCATGATGTCACACTGTTGAGCATTACGGTAGATACAAGCTGTCAAGATAGATTTACCGTTGCGAAGTGCTCTCGAGTGTGCCTCGCAATTGCGGGTTCTAATTTTTAAGATTCTCCATATGCAAAAACGTTTCCGCTAAAAAGTTTTCCCGCCGAAAAATTTATTTCACGCTAGCTTTCCAAGGTAAGGAGAAGGAAAAAGAAAGGAAAAGGCTTTCCTTCCTTTTTCTCCGCGCCTCGGTGAGATTAATGGCTGCCAAAAATTTCCTCTCAACTAACCGGAAATCAAGTTTTCTTTCTTTATTTTTGAGCCACCAGTGGCGTATTTTTAAAGGCTTTTTTGTGTTTTTGGCCCACAACTCAATACTATTTTGTCTGTTGGAATATCACTTGAGTATTTTCGTCGTAAGCTGCTCAAATTTGAGTGTAGTACGACAGTGTCGAATGCAGGCATGTCCCACTTATCATGAACAAGTTGTGTTCCGCGTCTTCTTTTACGAGAACTCTACATTACTCCTCTCTAAATTTTACATATGTTGAAGATCAACAGTTTTTCCATAACATAGCAAAAAATTAGCTGGATATATTTGATATAGCAGCGTTTAAGAACTTCAAAGTTTCCCTCCTCTTGCCACACGCTTGCAAGGATTTCGCCATAGAGTCTATCGGGACCGAAAAGTAATAAAATTTTGCTTGTTTGAGTTTCGTCTCAATTGCAAGCAACACGTGATGCCTCATCAAGGCTTAAGAATTTTCGTCTGTAAATACTGCTCAGTTTTGTTTGCGTAAAAATCCAATTAATCGCTGGTTGTCGATGAAAAAGAGCGCCCGCCGATCCGTGTTTTGTAGCTAAACATGACAAAATTGAACTTCAATTACGCTAGCTCTTTCGTGTAAAAACGTACATCGAACTCAAACAATATCTCTAGCTTTAAATATGTTTAAGACTGATTTGATAAATATTTGAGAACATTTTAGAGTTTAGCTGGAAATATGGGAAGACAGCAGAGATATTAAATCAGCAAAATTACGGTAGTGCTTTCTTTAATCAACCCGAATAACCACAAGTCACCCAAGCGTAATTTTAGAGTTTGTATCTGGATAACTCTGGCTAAAAAATAACTGTTTGTATGGAGATCAGGAGTTGACATTAAATTTGCTCAATGTATGGGTAATTTACCGAAGAAAGACTCTTGACCATTCACTGGTGTCATTTTTCTCACCCTGGAGAGTTAAAACGAGATTTGAGCGAATTTTGACAAATTTGTCCTACGGTGTTATAATAAGAGAAAAATTTTTCAAAATTGGCTCAAATCTCGTTTTAACTCTCCAGGGTGAGAAAAAATGACACCATTGAATGCTCAAGAGTCTTTATTCGCTAAATTACCCATACATTGAACGAATTTAATGTCCTGACTCCTGATCTCCATACAAACTCTTCTATTCAAGTTAGCCACAGTTATCCAGATGCAAACTCTTATGTTACGCTTGGGTGACCTGTGAAATAACAATTTCATTTTGTTGTTTGAGTTTTCAAAACTCCTTATCTATTTCATTTTCGCAGTATAAAATTTCACTATGTCGAAGAAACACTCATGATCTTAGTAGCCTTTTGGCGTTGGCAAAAATTGTCGCATCATCTCAGCAGAAAAGATGGCGAAAAAAAATACTTTGTCAAGACTTTTTATTGACAAATTAAAAACACCGACTCGGACTTGAAAGTGCGCGCGCTGCATTATGCAAATTAGCTACTTGTACGCGTCAGACTTTCCTGCTCGAGAAACAAGCAGAAACAAATAACAAACTGACCGAAAACAGATTTTGGTTATGATTAAGCGTTGTTTTGAGAAACGCACAAATTAACCGGCGATATCAGAGGAGAGACTTGCATAACCTTTATTCGTAAGTTAGAGGAAGTGCAAAAGATCACGCGTACAACTTGCGCGAGCTGATCTTACAGCGCGAAATATGAAGTCCTGTTTTCAACCTGAAAAACTCACCTTTCCCCATTGCCTCAGAACAGAAATGCACCAAAAACCTTCCTTCTTCATATAGGAGGGAGTTTCGTGGAATTTCTTTAGAAATCTAAGTTCCACTGTAAGTAAGCGGAATCTGCTCGTTTTAAGTAGACCCAGTCTACTGCATCACACCTTTTTGCTCGGACCCGCTCGTTTCACCGCCCTACATATAAACGCCCTGTCAGAGCAGTCTGGAGTAGGCTCTCGAGTTGGTCTGGAGGGGCTATATCAGAACAAAATGCTTTTCAACAGAGCATAAATACTGACTACATTGTGGCATGAAGTCAGGTCCGCTTTTCCTCTCAGCAAAACTGAAAAATGACGAAACACGAAAACCGCAACATATAATAAAACCAAAAAACCAGATATCGAGAAGAAATAGAAAATTACCTGTGGTCAATAACTAATCAAATTATCTAGTTTGATTCGCACTTTTGCCATCATGGGGTCATACATGCAGACTGACCCACAAGAGTGTCCCTGGCCTCCAGACGCAAAGCAGACGCAAAACAATGGCGTTCTTGAGGAAAGGATTTCAGTTGATCCGCTATCTACAAAAACATCCAAGTGCTTATCAAGACGTTTCTTTTGATGGCACAAACCTTCCAGATCTCGCTGCAGAGCGTATTGCCTGCTTTCTAGACGGCAAAGATCTGATAAATTTGGGGAAGACTTGCAAATTCTGGAACGAAGTATCCCGGAAGAACATGATTTGGAAAACTCTTGTCATGAAACGGTTCGGAAGACAGGCCATTTCCAGTTTCAAAAGTTCTCAGATAGAATACAAAAAGCTTTACTTTAATCTGGCGAAAAGCAAAAAGGCTGCCACTGCGTTTCAAGTAGTTTGGCTCAACGGCGATTATCTGGAAAAGGTGAAAGAGAAGGAAAGCGAATTCGGGGAAGTGATTCAACTCAATACGGTGTGTTGGCTACAAATCAATGAATTTTTTCTCGGCGTCCTTCCGGGAAAATACTCTCTGGTGTGGCGCATGAAACTCGACAGAGTTTACGTAAACGGTAATTCTAAGGAAGCGATCGAGTTCAGAGCAAGGCCAGAAGAAGGTTGTGGAAACGAGCTGTGCTCGAAATGGACGGAGAATGATTTGAGACGTGCAGAACGTCGTCACGGCAATTGTAAATGGTATCTGCAGGCCATGGGGGACTTTGAAGTGACAGCTACCTGTAAAGTGTATATAGAGATCAAGGGAAGGACAAGTTTCTGGTGTGGAGGTATAGCCTGGGATTATGTTGAATTAAGGCCACTTTAATGGCAAATTTTGGGTCATATTTTGCGGGCTAAATTCAGTCCCAAAGCACAGATTTTGACTCTGCAAAAATGCTGTAGAAAGGGTTCACAGGCTTTTTTTCAACAGATCTAAACTCCCCTGGGGGGTGGGTACTCCCAGAAAAGTTGGGTGGGGGTGTGTGGCCCACTTCCCAAAGCCCTTACCCTATTTATGACCAAAATCTGCGATTTTTGCTACCCTATTTATGACCTGGCCAAAAATTAGATACCTATTTATGACCGTTGCGGCTGGCACAGTTGCTTTAAACATAAGTTACGAAGCGCTTTTGTTGACGGTCTTATTGATAATGATGAAAAAGTAGCTCCTTCCAAGAAACATACCCAATTCAAGACTAAGATGCTAAACCATACCCTACTTAAGACCAGAGGGCCAAAATGGATACCCTATTTATGACCAAAACGACTGAAAAACCCTACTCTTTGGGGCCACACATACCTATATAGCCAATATAAGGGAGTATCCCCTACCCTTGGGATCTAACCCCATGAAAAGTGACTGTTCACAGGTTATAAAAAAATTTCATACCCTCTGATAAGCATGTGAAAAACCACAGGTTGGATTACTTAGAGTTCACAGGATTTAGTGAGAGGAACAAAAAAAGTTTGAGATATTTGGAGTTTGAAAAAGTATATTCAGACAGGTGAAAATGATTTGAGTTCAAGGTAGTAGAGAGCTCAAGACCACAGGGAGAGGGTACTCCCTTATATGGGCTATATAGGTTTATGTGGCCCCAAAGGGTATGGTTT